GTAGACAGGTTTTTCTGAAGTAGTTCATTCTAAAAAGATAACGAACTTCACTAAAAGAATCAAGCATGCAGAAGGTTTTCTGGAAGGTTTGAACTTGATTGTTTAACAACAGTGAAGAGAATCGAAAGCCATGTAAAAGCGAAACTTGGTCAAATGACCTAAAACGTTTAAACTGACATGGCCTCCTACCAGGTATATAATAGGTGCGGGCCAATTACCTTTAACAGCTGCATCCCAAGAAGCCGATCGCAGCTTTTCCATAAGCTCTTGAGCTTTCTCAACTGTAGCCATTTTGGTGCCATGCTTACCTGTAAAAACAGAGAATTAAAGACAGCTTTCATCTATATTATTGCTGTGGAGCAACAAATTAAAGCATTGTACCTCAGCATAATTATTATAGTTAAGCAGCTTAGCCTTTTCCAGCCTAAGCTTAATATTGATCAATGATTGGTGTATTATCAGATCTCCACTTGAAGCACGAGTAACATAGGCACGATAAACTTCTTCTCGCAAACCACGGTTTCGAGCATGTTGCATGACAGACAAAAAACTAGGGCCATCCAATGTAATTATCCATGGTCCATCCTCACAAGTTGCCCCAGGGTGACCCTGATACAAAAGCATATATGAACCAGTCAAACATCATCATGATATTTGGCAAATAAGTTGAAGGGAAAAACAAAGCCATGGCACCCTAGATTCTAGTGGGTAACATCAGGCGTACAAGCAGAGTTCACATGATCAGCTATATTACCTTGGATACAGCCGTCTGCGCAGCCAACCCAAGTGCAGTAGCAGGCAATCCTTCAATCTCTTTCTTATCCGTGACAAGTTTTCAAACTTCTTTGTGGCATCCAGCACATTCTCGTCGAACTTTTGAGACAATCTCTCCAGTTCCTAGAAATAAACCAAATTCATAAGGAAGTTCTCAGCTACGAAACTTATCGTCCTTACATGTAACTAATCTACATCTCATTAGAGATACCCCAACGCAATATTGTTCCTGCTTTCAAGACTCATCCCACCCCAGGAGGACAAATAAGGGGGGAGAAAATTTTAAACAGGCGACATTAGAACTGTACCTGCTCAACTTATTGAACTCTTCTCTTTTCTCGTCCTCTAGAGCTACACCACTGAGGACCGCCTCCTTTATTTGGCCTGCACATACACAGCAAAGGCGGTCAAGGGTTACCCAACTAAGCTTTGTAAAAAAAGAACACAATCCACATGTCCACAAGAATGGAAAACAGAAGGAATAACAGTTCAAGCGTGAGACGATAGAGAATAAAAATCAAATTAGAGCATTAACACTAGAAATCCAATGAAAATGTATAAAAACCATTGTAAAGGCAGAAAGTGCTCAAAAAAGAAAATGTAGAAAGATGCAATCTTTTACAGATGAGAAGATGACGCACGCTAAAGAAACTCACCCTCAACTATCCGCTTCCGAGCATCACTGAGATGCTGCCACTCGGGAGATTCCTGAATGGCCTTAAAAGCATTATAAATGGGTTTACTCTGTCCCAACCTGAGCTGAAACTTGACTTTGTCGGGCTGCGGACGAACATTCAAAACAGTATCCAGCGAAGAATGAGAAACAGAACAGAAGGATTTTTTTTTTCTCTCGAAATGTTTCGAATTGATCATCCATTTCCACACTTCACCTGAACTTCCTCGATAGCAGCCGGAGCTCAGCGGTATCCTTGACCGCCTTCAGGTGATTAACCATGCCCCAAACAACGGTCAATTTATCGACAATCTCTCCAACGGTTCCACCAGCTTCGACCAAGTCGGCTCCACGGTCCTCTCCAGTTCCTCCAGATCATCCTCCTGAACGCACAGCTCAAGAAAAGTAAACAAATCGAACAATTACGCACAAACAACCAGAGAAAAGAGAGAGAATATGCTTACGAGCTGCTTGAGCAGAGCGCGAACCCAGGACGGACATGGTCGGCCTCGACGGAATCAAACGGAGGGAACTCGAAGTCCTTCAAAAGAGGGTTCTCAACATCCGCGGCAGCAGCGACGGCGGCGGCCATGGCAGATGGCGGGGAAGGAAGGGGAGTAAAGGAAGAGTAGCGGCGAGGGGAATGGGAGGGGACAAGACGGGGAGAGAAGAGGTAGAGAAGGAGGAGGACGAAGAAGAAGAGAGGCAGAAGGAGAAAGAAGCGGACCAGACGGGACAGGGACGAGATTTAAGAGGACGATTGAGGGCAAAATGGGGGACTGAGTCAGGAACCGAGTCGGGTGTTTGAGGATGGGTGAACGGAGCGAGAGAGCGAAAAAACTGACGCCATTAGAGTGTTGAGCAACAGAAGACTCGGAAAACAATTTTGTACTGCTGCTCGGGTTCCACGCATTTTTTTAATTTTTTTCATTTCCCCTCTTTTGGCCGCTTCTGATTTTTTTTTTTTTTTTGTCATAGAAACCCTTGCGGATTAACTAGGTAAGCACGAGATAGCCACAATACAACGGCTTCTTCGTGAAATGATAGTCAAAGCAAATAAGAACAATCAAAACGAACACAACAAGATCCAGAGTAGCATAAGGCATTACGCGCCACAACATGGGCAGCCCGATTGCTTCTCTAGGAGTAAAAGCAACAGAAACCAGTGGCAAATCTTGCAACATAAAGATGACCTCTCGTAAGATAGCCCCCACAAGGGCATCATTGGATCAGAAGCCTTCAAATGTTGAACAACCACAAGAGCATCACTTGTAATCACAATCGGTCGATCCTGCCACTGCCATTGTCGAAGTAGTAAAACAGCTTCTCTAATTGCCAACACCTCCATGATCTTGGGATGAAAAATGCCTGGAAAGAAACCACCCATTGCAAAAACTGGCACATTCTGATCCAAACCCACTATGCCAATTGCGCCATGAGTCGGAGCACTCGTCGCCCCATCAACTGCAATGCGAAAAGTAGAATGCAACGTCGAACGAGGATAAGGCTGAGGTCTGGGTGGCGGTGACTGATTTGGTTGGATGGCAATTTGATGAGTGGCATGATGAGATAATAGGTGACGGTACAAGGCAGCAGTGGTAAATTGTGCATAGGGTGGAAAGACAACATTATTCCGCCCTTTCCAAATCGCCAAAAAAGAGGACCCAATTTATTACGGTGGCATGATCGGAAAGCATGATGTGTCTTAAAAAGATGGACAAATGTGTGCTTGAAGAAATCCCCGGCGGCAGATGTAAACCACACCGTTGACGGAAATGAACTGCAACACGACACCCAAGGAATAAATGTTCCAGCGATTCGCCTTCATCTGAACCGGGTCTCCGCGAAGAAATGGATTTGGCTGGTCTCGAAGGTAATCTACACCGTTAAACGAAGTGAGTTTTTGACTTTTTAGTTTTATCATATGGAGGAAATTGGGGAAGGAGCATCTCGGCCGGTTTCAAAATTTAGTTTAATATAATTATTACTTATTTTATTTTATTTATCTTAACTTACATTGTCGTTGTAGGGAAAATTTCCGCCACGTAAGACATGGTAAGTTCCATCATTTTCCCTGTTATTCTTACTATTTTAAATTTTTTATAATTTTTACCATTTCACTAAACTAAAATCAAATAAATATATACTAATCATCTAAGATTGAACCTGCAACCTACGAGCTCTAATTATTATCACTTCAACTATTTAGCCAATATGATAAATTATATTTGATGATATTAGTCTTTTTTTTAGTGAATTTGATGATATTAGTCACAACGAAATAATACTCATGTCATCAATTAGGTTTAAACCTAACCTCTGCATTTGATTTTTTTTTAATTTATCGGTTAACATCTCAATTTTGAAAACATGCATCTATCTTTGCATAAATTGTAGTACGAGAAATGTAATGGATAAGTTATATTATCTATTTTCTATCCATCATAAAAATCATTAACCGCTAAAAAGAATTTTTGCTTAATTTAATTATTTTCAAAATTTGAAAAAATTAAAAATAATAAGGTGAAAAGTATACCTTTATGTTAAACAAATTTAATATTTAATTTAATATTTCATGTCATGTTAATTGAAATTGAAAAATGAGAAATAAGAGAATAACCTTCTTTTATATCTAGAACACCAAGAATATCATTTTTGTTTATACGTATGATCATAAATATGTGAACTAATACACTTATATTCCAATTTATTAGAAATATAACAACATTTTTATGTGCTTACTACAACATTTGGAGATAATATAAAAATTGAAAATGTTGTCTTGCTAAGCAAAAAGACATTATCGCAATCACATATTCGTGTGACATATTCATATACATAAAATTACTGAAATATACCAAAATAGTTCAGCCATGTGTCACCATGATACACAACAAGGTACATATTAATTGGTAAAAGAAGTTCGGGAAAAATCAAGGTAGTATTTTTCTTCTCTAGGGGTTGAATTTAACATTTCTCACTTATTAAAAATGATATCATTAACTTTTCCCTAATGCAAATTCAAAATTTCCCTTTTTTTACATTATTTCATTCTTTTTTCAGGCTCTCATCCACAATTATTCAAACAATATTTTTACTTTTCCCCTAACGAAATTCTAATATCTTTCTTTTCCTTTTTATCATTCATAAATGTTAAAGATAATTAGAATAATAGTTGTATAGTTTGGATGTGTAGGGTTGTAACTACACCTTGATTATATGCTCATAATATGCAGTTGTCTTTCGCTTTTGTTATCTAAACTATATGATTTCTTGGGTGCTTAATTACCAAAAATGTGGATCTTTCACTCTTTGATCTACCTCAAGTACATGTCATTATTTTGTTTGTTCTTATGCACACAAAAAGTACAACACGACCAAAGAACTCTAACGTTCTAAAAGTCCACTTTGTCGTAAACAAGGAAATTTAAACTTCTTATAACTCAACCACCCTCTCAATCCTTAAGGTTTTATTAAATTTAGATATCAAAATTGTAAGACATTCTTGGGAGTGCATAAGGATCTATAATAATATATTAGGCTTTAATTTAATGAAAATGATGTGCAACTTATGAAGTAGAAATTTTTGGCCAATTAAAAATAGAATGGTCTTGAATATAATCTTCCAACGTCTATATGAAAGTCACAACTCTTATTATTTGGTAATATTGCCGATTCACAAAACCAACACAAAATATATGTCCCTTCTATAAATTGAAACTCATATAATAAATAATAAGAATAAACAAATATAAAACTAGAAGTCGCACACCATTTGATATAAATAATAATAGATTAAATAAATCAAAGAAACCCACCACCCATCGGGCGGGCACAAAGCTCGTATATAAAAGGGGAGTTCCACTTCTATCCAAGATTTGCTGAAATGTGGATTTCAATTCAGCAACTGCGATATAATGGCTTTGAGTTTGAAAAGATTTGCTGAAAAATGTAATAATTTAATATTATATATATATATAGTTCAGGCTAGCGTACGTCCGGGCATACGCTAATTAACCTTAACGTACGCCCCTGTTCACACTTACTAACATTTTTAATTAATTATAATAAAATTAATAATTACTAAAAGTACAATTACAACTACCCTTATTAATTTAATTTTAGTTACTATTTAGTCCCAAATGATTTTTTATCGTGATTATACTTAATTCAATCACAATATATATCTTACATAAAATTTTCGATACCGTAATTTTTAATAATCTTGATTTATAACCCACAAATTTCTTATTGCAAAAGTAGTTCCATCTTTATTTGAAAGTTATAAAATTCCATCCAAGTTGTTTTCATTAGTCATTTAGAATTTACCACTAAACCTGATGTTCATTTTTTTTATTTGAGAAAGACTCCACACTCACAGAAGCACAGACCATTCATCTCCTATGTACGGTCCTACCTCTTTTACCATCTTCGTTCCCCATCTGCCTTTCTCCTTCATCTTCGTCATTAATCGAGCAAACTCATTCTTCGCCGCCCGAGGGAGTTGGAGAGGCCGGTGGCGATTAGGAAAGGATTTCGAATTAGAGATCTGCAGGGCGACAATCGCGCCGGGTAATAGAACCAGCGGAGAGGGAAGACCGGATCTTGGTCACATCGTCGTCGGGTCCCTGGCATCGCTGAATTCTTCTTACCGGTTGACGCCCTTGGAGAGATTCCAAAGTGGAGTGCCGACTTCGCTGCAGCGGCCCGAATCCTGATATGCTCAGACCCACGAGCTTTGAGTCCAGTCGAGCAAAAACTTCAAGAACTTCAACGTGCAAACAAAAACAAGGCAAGAACAGGGAAAACGGAGCTGGAAGGTGCAACTTCAACACCGACTTACGGGGAAGAGGCTCGATCCAACGATGGTGCAACTCGTCCATGATTGATGTGGTGAATCAATCGATGCTGAGCTCGCTTATTGATGGACTTGAATCCACGCAACAAGGACAATCAAAGAGCTTGAAAAGACTCGATGACAAGGGTTCTTTTATTAAACTTCGACTGCCGATTACAACTTAATAAACTTCCTTATATAGCTAGCTAGAATAACTCGATTAACACCCTCCTAAACCTACTGGGACTCGACAAACAATCCTCAAACAGAAAGGAATAAAACTCCAACTCAAACAAGGAAACAAGAACAATTATGTCGTAAGGTCCAAGTCACCAAACAACCATCGATACCATCTTAGCGGCTCTCAATCAATGACTTCCAAGCATCCCACCGATTATCCAATGCTCTCCTTTGTAGAGTAAAATACGTATTTTCGTGTGGATGGAAGTTCCTCTTCGAATCGTTCCCATCTGCCATGAATGGAGCTCCAAATCTGCCTTCCTGACCATGCTTCCAGACTTAGCCAATTTCTGGCAGTTTGCCAGTTTCGAGATAGCTACTTTAAGGTCTTGAACAGTAGTCTTAATGACGTCGTTTGAACCCGAAATCCATACCAACTTGTTCAGGAAGTCTTCATCTTCAAAACGACGCCCTAAACTCTCATTTATACCAACCCAATCGGAAGATCGAGCTCGCAAAGTAGGCTACCCGAACTCGTCATAACACTTAGCCAAAAACTCAGGTTGCGCAAATGA